ATATTTTTTATCAACAGCTTTTGATTATTAATGGAATGTATTGATCTTAAATGTTTGACTCAAGAAGTCTGAAGGCTTTGGGATGAGCCACATGGTTAAGACTCTTCCTCCTCCAACACAGAAGTAGAGTCCAAAACCCTAGAAGAGAAGCTAAAAACCAGAAACTTCTATAAATTCTGGCAAAACAAATTATTTTATTTCTAGTAATTTCATATATATATTTTGTGCCCGCCCTCTTTCTTTTCTTATGAATATGAGATACAAGGAAAAAGAAATATCTGAGGTTTCTTGGTCTCTCTGTCAATAAACATCCAATTGTAATAAAACACACCTATCATATCTCCCTATAAAAAGCAGAGTGTGGATATAAAACGACTGATTGTCTATGTCTTGTTTCTTTTTTTTCTCTGGAAGATAGCAACATGGAAGCATCAAAATGTGTAAGAACATTTCAGTTTGCTTTGTAACCTGCAATTTATTTACATGAATTCAATTATAGTCTCATTCATCAAACACAGTGTAGCTCTTGAGAGGTGACAGATCAAACTCTAGCAATCACAAACGTGCTGAGCTTTACCCAAATTATGGCAAAGTTTTCTTGCACCTCCAGTTCCTTTCAGGAGAGAGTCTTTGACTCCCAAATCCAAGTGTCAGCCAACCAGCTCTCAGTACAGAGATTAAGTAATGTACAAATTAAGGGTTTGGGGCTGATTCTCTTCCTTCTGAAATAAATGGCAGCACTCCCCGTGGCTCCAGAGGGAGAAAGGTCCTCTGCTTTACTTCACTGGCTGATTGCAATCCTCCCAGGACGGTGCAGAGAGAACTGCCAGAGAACTCATAACGTCACGGAGCCCTTGTCTTACTGCAAGGCTTTTTATCATCACACATTCAGCTTCAGCCCCAGTCATAAATTGCATGGTTTGTAATTGATGCATTAGCAGTGGGAACAGCTGGATGGGAAGTTTTTAACTCATCAGTGGAGGCAGCTTCAGGCTGGAGAGTTTTGTGCTCAGGATGAAGAGTTGGTTCATTTATCTCCGTCAGCTCAGTCAAATAATCTCCCTCATGGCTGTAAGAATAATTAGGAACAAGGAATAAAAACCCATAAACCCCTAGCAGCTAGATTAAGGGACAAACATGGAAGGTGTACATTTCCTGATGCAAACTCCAAATAACATTAAACAGAGACCAGAACACCCAGGAGATGTAATTCCATGCTCCCTGACTTGGGAATGCAGGCACCCTAAGGACCATGAGCAAACAGGTGAGTGTTTTCTTTCTGTAATAGCACCAAACTTTTCTGCTCTACAGAGTGGGCCCTCATCATAACTTGGGCAAAATGACTCACGACAGCTCTTGGAGGCAGTTTTATCTGCCACAGTCACTGGGAGCCTCCCTGGAGTTCCATGCCATGACAGACACCTCACTCTCACCTGATACATTCCCTGCCATATCCCCGAGCTCTTCTCAAGAGTCATTTCTTGCATGGAAATGAGACTTCTGGGAATATTTGTGCTGCTTTGGCTCTGAAGCTGGGATAGAGTGTATGAGTCAGCCAGGAGCAGTCCAGACATTTTCCCTCTGGTTCAGAACTGAGTCTGGAGTTCAGTTTCTGTGAGGATTTCAGACACACTGAGTTCCTCCTTCTTTTTCACATTTGGGTTGTGGGTATCTCTCTGGTCTGCTTTACTTTGTTTGCCTGAGCCAACCTTCCTTAGAAAGGTGATTCTGTAAGAAACTGCAAGTAGTTTCTGTAATACCATATTAATCAACTAGTCATGATTTCAGTAAAGGAATCAACTAATGAGGAGAGGTCTTTTAATAACACTTTTATATTCCTTTTTTTCTTCTTCTTCCAGGCAGGGGAATCAAACCCAAACACATTAGAAGGTTTATCCAAAGTTAATTTTTTGGGTAGCAGACCCCAGCCTCTTAGTAAATGCAGAAGTGTATAGAATGTCCTGAACTTGTTTAGACCTCACAAATGTTGAGGTCATTATGTTTTTCATAGATAAATAGAAAATCTGAATTTAGAACAATTAATCACATTCACTTAGTGTCTTCTGTAAATGGTCTAAATATAAGTACATATATATTTATGTACACATATATACATGTACACATATATTTATGTATGTACACGTATATATGTGTACATATACATACATGTATTTATATGTATACATGTGTATATATATGTACACATATATTTATGGCACAAAGGATGTCATATTTAAGCAGAATACTTTAAAACCAGACCTACCCAAGAGAAACTCCCAATCAAACTACAAATTACTTTGGGACTAGAAGAATCTATGGTTATTCTTCAAATCCTCCTACCTGCATAGTTTTATAGATAGCACCATGTTTAGCCATGATGCAAAATATATTCTATAATTTTTAAGCAGCAAATAATTTTTTTTTAAGCAGCAAACAGATATTTTCTGTAGTTGTAATTTTTTTTTGTTTTGTTTTTTATAGCATAAAGAATGGTGTAGCATGGACCAAAAGCCTGTCTCTTTTGTTTTTCTCTTTTGCTGTTGATTCTTCTGGATTTATCTTGCATTTTTATGACCTAAATCAGGAACAATTCTGCCGTTTCTCACTGAGCTGCATGTGCCTTAAAATCAATAGGACACTCAGGCTTGCTTTGTGTATTTTTCTTCTGAAAACCCGATGGATACAGCGGTGTCTGCCTTCAATGAGAGTGGAAACTCCAGTATCAGTAATCCTCAATCCCTGGGCTTGCTGCAGCTAATGCTGCACAAAATGAACTCTTGTTTGCAGCAGAGGCTGGGCAAAGGTGCTCCCCGGGAAGCTGCAGGTGTGCTCCCCACGCCGTGCCTGCCTTCCCTGGCTGTGCACCTGCGAGGGGCTGGGGCTGCCCAGCCTGGCCGCATTCCAGGCAGGAAAGGGGCTGGCGGCAAACGGGCTCTGATGGAGCTGCCAGAACCTTCGTGGTGTGTAAAGCATCCTGCGGGTTCCCAGCTCAGAAAATCTCTTCAGGCTGATCTCCCAAAGAAGGGAATTCTTTGGCGCATTTTGTCTTTTTTCCAAGCAGACAAACGTTGGTGAAATGCCTTCTTCATCCAGTGTGTTACAGTGTTCTGGCTTCCTTTCTGCAGCAATATTAACTTCATACCCATGTGAAACAATTCTACAAATGTCCATACCTCCTGTACACACCTCAAAGAATAGTCATAGAATTTATTCTTCCCCAAATCCTTCTCTCATTTATCCTTCTGGTTTCCCTTCTCTCATTCTCACATCCCACTTTCCTTCCTCTTCATTTTCTCTGTTCCTTTAAAATGTTTTCTTTCCAAGTGAAACCAAACAAAATTATCAGCCCACAATGGTCTTCTGCATTTGTGTTCTGTCCTTTGTTAAAGGGAATTGGAGCAGGGGGTGGGCTTGGGCTTCTATCCAGGAAAAAGGGGGAAGAGAGGCACTGAGTATCGCTGCCAAGGACTGAAGCCGTCCCCAACCTTTTATTTAAGAGAATCTCTCGAATTTCTTTCTACCTCTCATGGGGTAAGCACTTTTTAAGTATCAATTACTGTTATTATTTACCTAGGGAGTGTGTGTATGGCATCTGGCATAGTTTGGAAATGTCAGTGTTCCTGTAAGTTTCATTCACAGGAATTACCTAGGTAGCCTCTCTCTCCATATCAGATTCTTTAAGATTTGAAGGTTTGTTGGAAACAAACTAGGGAAGCATATGGTATCTGTGCATTTCAATGCTTGTTTGGGTACACAGAAGTGGATTTATTTCACTTTTTTTTTTTTTTTTTTTTTTTTTTTTTTTTTTTTTGTGGAGGACTTTCTGGACCAGAAAAATAGCAAAGGCAGAACTGGTAGAAGATGCAGCATGACAAGGAGGGCTCTGCCAGCTCCGAGCCAGGAAGGGGAAGTTGGCTGAACTGCTTTTCTTTCTCTCTCTCTCTCTCCTTTTTTTTTTTTTTTTTTTTTTTTCTTTCCCTTTTAAACAGGGTTAAGGTGAACTCCTAAGCAATTGTGGAGTGAGGCCCCACCTCTCCCGGCCTGATCTGCAGGCTCGGGTTACTCTCCTGCCTGGTTCTCAGGAGCCCACAGAGAGCTGCATGCCTCTTCAGCCCGAACCTGCCAGAGCCTGGCAAAATTACTCCCTCTGTGGAGTTCAGATCTTCCTTAGGAAGACTTGCTGGCAATCACCAGGTCAAGGATGGAGTAGCACCACTTGAGATTCAGCAACCAGACTGCTGCAAGCAGTAGCTGAGCAATATCACCCTGTCCACTTTTTTTTTTTTTTTTTTTTTTTTTTTCTTCTTCTTCAAAATCGGGAAAATCCGTGTCTTCCCTGGAGAAGCCGTCAGGGGCAGGGCTCTGGCAGTGATGGCTCTGACTTCACCTGCTTCTGCAAATGAGTCACGGAGTGTTATAAAAAGCAAGGACCTGCCAAGTCTCATTTCTTGGAGCTGAGTGGAAATTTCAGCAAGCAGCTGCTCTTTCCTTAGTTTATACTTTTCTTCGGCAGGTTTCTTGGAGAGGGCCTGGAATCGCAGAAACTTTGTAGCAGAAAGGACCTGTTGCTCCTTTTGGTAACCGTGTCTCAGTGGAATTAGCTGTTTGGTCCAGATGTGATTCGGATCTTCCTGAGGGATCTTGGTGAAGCCTGGAAGGAGCCTCGGGAACGAAATTAAGCAGGTGTGTAAATCTTTCTGGATTGGCGATTGAATCCTATCAAAAACCAGGAACAGAACCTCAAAAATCAGATCAGCTCTCCTATACACCACCCCTGAATAGAGGTTCTCTTCATATATCTGATGCTGTCAAAAGATTTACGCTTTCTAGCTTTTCTCTGGAGTCACATAAGGCAAAAACTTATTTGAAAGAGAAATCAGTGAAAACAGATTCTCGAGGAACAGCCGGGTTCTAGGAAGGGAAGTGGCTCATTACAACAATCCCGGCTGTGCTAACAGTGTAGCGTGAGGACTTTGGCTACCTGCAAGCCGATAGGGACCATTCCCCTGCGCCGAGCGAAAGCCACGTGTAAGTTGTCAGAGTGGGGAGGAATGTGGTGCCAAATGGAAACAACATAAACAGCTGGGAGATTTCATCCGGCATTTCCAGCGGAGACGGGAGACTTTTGTTCTCCTAGACCAGTCTTTCCAAAGGTGCTTTAGCTACTCCTGCTTCTTCGGGGAAGGTTGTTGCTTTGGAGTCGTGGTACGTTTTGCGTGTGGCTTTGTATTTTTTTTTGGTTTTTTTTTTTTTTTTTTTTTTTTTTTTTTTTTTTTTTTTTTTTTTTTACGATGACTTTACACTCCCACGTTTCAGCCCGGCTCCGGGGCGCTGCTCTCAGCACCTTTCCATGGCATGAGCCGTGCAGGGAGCGGGAGCAGCTCCGCGGGGCACCGTGCGGGAGCTCCGCGGGCCCGCCCCGGCCGCGGGCTGGAGCTGGGAATTGGGGCCGGGGATTGGGGCCCGGGATTGGGGCCGGGGCGGGGCGGGTGCCCGGCAGAGGGAGCTCGGCTCCGCTCGCCGCCGCTGCTCCGCTGACCGGCGCCCGCCCCGCTCCCGCACTTTGTTGGCGGCGCGGAGCGGAGCGGAGCCCCCGCGCCCGCCCGCAGCCCCGCGGCCACCGCCGCCCCCCGGGGCCGGGAGGAGGACTCTGGGCAAGGTAAGGGGCTAGCGGGGTGGGATGGGATGGGATTTCCCTTGGCGTCGAGCCCCCGGGTTGTTCCGCGACCCCGAAGCCGGTGGGGCAGCCTCCGCACGGCGGATTGCGGGGCGCTGGCCCGGCCCCGGTGGGACAGCGGGCTGAGAAGTCCCTCCCGGGGACGGTGGTCGCTGCTGCAGCTTTTTCTCAGCCTGGTTGCACACCCACGCAGCCCTCGGTGTGTGTGTGTGTGCCGGTGTAGGTGTGCGTGTGCTCTCCTCCTGCCGCTGCGGTACCGCCACACCTGCCCGCGCCTCGCCCGCCGGGCTCGCACCGGGGGCGGCTGGGCATCCCCGCCGAAAGCACCATCCGTGCCCTCCTCCTCCTCCTCCTGCCTCACCTTCTGCCAGGTGACTCGCCTTTCAGTCCTTACCGGGGTATTTTTAACCCCGGTGGTTCAGCTGGTTTTTCCATCTCTGTAGCGGGCAAAGAGCAGCTTTCGGGTGGGATAATCCTGTTGAATGCCCGCGTCTGTTTGGTGCTCTCCCCTGCTGCCTTTCGTGTCCCCCCGCTGTTCAGCCCTTTCGTTAACTTTCCCCGGTGTCTTTGCTCCTTCTGCCCCTCTCATCGCCATGACACGCACTCCCTAAGGCATTGCCAGCGTGCGATGACCTGGGCACACCTTGGAAACAGGTTAGTGGCATTTTGAGGAATAATTTAAGGTGTTCCTGCCCCCCACCGTGACCTCAGTAGGGCTGCATTGTATCCACGAAAGGCGAGACGTTGCAGCTTCCACTAAAGCGTAGTTTCAAGCCAGCTGGTAGCAGGCAATAGAGGAAAGGGTGGAACAGGTTTTTCTTAAGGATGTTGTTTGAGAAGCAATCCTCCCACTTAGAAATTGTGCTTTGCCTTGCCTGGTGAATCTCGTACCCTCCAGAGTGGTGTGACCTTTGGTGGAGTCTGCTTTGTTTACTTGAGGTAAAAGTATTGCTCCTCTGCATTGTGTCTGCTGAAATATTAACCAAGTGATGGATCTCGCATGCCTTCACAGCGTGGATCATATTTTAATTACTCCTCTCCTCCATCATCAGAAATGCGTCCTCCTCCCTTCCTATTGACTGTCTTCCTTCTCGTTTGTGATTGTGCAATGTCTATATGTCAGCTACAAAAGTTGCTTGCATGGGAGAACATAAAAATGACCATTTTTTTGTTGTTAGCAACTGGAAATACTTAATCAGCATCGTGTGGCCGGTCTCCTTTTCCTGGAATACCCATGGAAAGGCTGCAACCCCTGCCCTGTGAGGAGGAGAAACCTCTCCCGGGCCAGGCTTGCAGTGAGTTGGTGATTCCCTCTCAGTGGGACTACAAAGAGCTTGCGGAGTTTCCCAGGTGTAAGGGAGACGCCCCATATCTCCTCCTGATTCACAGTCTGCAGGGAGTGTGGCGTTATTAGCTCCCAGGTAAGGAGATCCTGTGCTCAAGGCTCCACGGGAGCAGGCTGTGGCTTCTCCCTGCTTTTACCGGGAAGGAAATGGAAGTGGCTCTGGATTTGAGTTGTCCAGCTGGCTTGTGCTGTCACGCACTCGTGGAGGCTGTGGTGTTGAGTTATGCCTTCTCCTAGCTCTGAATGCTGGCCTCTGATTCTGTGATTTTGAAAGCAGGCAAAGCCGGCTGTGGTGTTGAGTTATGCCTTCTCCTAGCTCTGAATGCTGGCCTCTGAGTGATTCTGTGATTTTGAAAGCAGACAAAACGTCCCATTAGATTTATTTGGAGGGAGGTAACGCCCCAGGAGCAGCAACACCCAGTAATGATTAGGTGCTAGTTATATACAGCAGTAGTGGAGAGGGCAAGATTAATCTGAAGTTACTTCTGCTGTGAAATGCACAGATGGAAAAAAAAGTACTGAAGTTTTCCACTTGGTGACGACTAAATTCTTGAAATAGGGTTGATTTTTTTTTTTCTGTCCATAGTCCAGCTGCAAATGGTGAATCAGTCACATCAACTACTGCATTTTTTCCCCCTGTGGGTGACAGCTTATTAAAATCTAACATCTGAAGTCAAATAATTGAAGACCCAAGGGTCAAAATAGATTAAATATATAAGAACTCTTCAGTTATTGTGGGCAGATGAGAGAAGACTTGAAGTCCACACGACAAAGATTGCACCCATAAAGCACTTGTTAACTTCAGTTTTGGTGTCTACCACTTGTTGCTCTTACATTCCTGGTTACAACTCCTGCATCTCTTCTCATACAGTGAAATGACTGCTCAATGCACAAGATTTTTTTCAAAGACAGTTTTTGGCTGTGCCAGACAGAAAAAGGAAGCCCTTTGTGACTCCTCCAGTCTCCTCTCTCTGGTGGCCAGAAAGAAAAGGTGGTTAACACCTTGGAGTTGCTGCTTCCAGTGCAGCCTGACCCTTGTAGCTCCATTCCAAGCATATTGTTCAATGTGAAAATTCGGTACATAAGAGTCTAGTTTCTTGTATTTAGTGCTAGTTCTCTAGTTTTTCCATTACTAAATGCTTCAAACCAGAAGAAACTAGAATTCCTGCTTTTGGGGAGAGGCTGCAACTGGTGCCATTTTATGTTAACTCCAGAGCTGGACTCTGATTCATTTGCCAATTTATTCATCCAAAACAATGACATTCTGTTTTGTACAGCTTTTGATTTAACTCGGATACCTAGGATTTTCAGTTTTCTACCCTGAATTCCAAGTTAGATGGTGAACTTTGTTTTGCCATGAACTTCAGCCGTTACCTCAGTCCTGAGTGACCATTTCTCCCTGCTGCGCCCGTAGAGGAATTTAGGCATAAAGTCATTGAAAGTTTCACCTCAGTCAGTGACGCTCTTTTGGGTGTGTGTGGAAAACATTTGCAAAGCTGTTTACAAAACAATGCTCTGCAGTCACTGAAAGGGAATGTTAAGACAAGGTGTCTTGTACAGCTATTGACTCTGGGAGCACCACAGCCTTTTTGGAAGGACCATGATGGTGTGGGAAGAAGCAACCTCCACATCTGTTTTGTGAGGAGGGACTCTTTTCTTCTTTCCTTTTTTTTTTTTTTCCCTCCTAATTTTGTGTTATTGACACTGGGGGATAAAAAAAAAAAAAATTAATCACAAATGGAAATGCTGTTAGCATTATCTTTTTAAGATCTGTTTCATTTTGAGCTGTGGCCGTGAGCCTGCAATCACTAACACATGTCTTTGATTGTAACGTCAGTTTTAGTAACATTTTAAAATATTAGCCAACTCAGGGCCTTGAATTGCTACCAGTTGAACGCTTCCAGTCCTTTCTTCCCTTCCCTCTCCATGCCACTGCCTCGGTAATTAAAGTTAGGCATGCTGTGAATCTCCACAGGGTTAAGATCTGACATGGAAATAGCAAATTACAAATTACTTTCTTTGCATTTATTACCTTTGTCTTTTGATGAATGGACTCCAGCAACCTTGTGCATCATGAACAGACAAAGTTAGCAAATGTCTCTAGCCTCAAAGGTGCAGATTCAGCATTTTCCATGAAGTTGTCCATTTCTGTGGGAATTTCTGTTTTGTGGTTTTCTGGTGCATGACAGTCGTCTTCATTACTCTGGTGGTGTGACAGGGGATTCTACTTGCCTTTGTTCTCAAAGCCTCACTCATGTTGTCACTTTGACCAACCACGGAAATTGTTAGCTTCCCTGTAAATCTACAGGAGAGAAAAAAGAATGTAAAACACCAGTATAAACACAAAAACGATTAAGCCATTCTCCTGGAATACTATGAAAACTTAGAGTGTTTCAACAGAATAATTAGTAGAAATTAAGGTTTTTAAAAATGGCATCTGTTGAGTGAAAGTAGGTGTTCTGGATGTCCAGTAACTTAAAAAAAGGTTTCATACAGATAATGTAGTTATTTGGGGTTTTTTGGTCAACAGAATAATTAGTAGAAATTAAGGTTTTTAAAAATGGCATCTGTTGAGTGAAAGTAGGTGTTCTGGATGTCCAGTAACTTAAAAAAGGTTTCATACAGACAATGTGGGTTGCTTGGATTTTTTTGTTGTTTTGTTTCATTATTGATTTTATTTTGTTTTGGGTTTTGTTTTCTTTTTCTTTTCAAGAATGCATTGGTTTTACATGAAAGAGAGGATTTGTCTTTTAATAATCCAAAATGTTACAGTTCATGGTTTTTCTGGATTTTATAGATTACCCCTGAAGATAGGGAACACCTGATTCCTTACAAGCTTTCCATGAGTGCAGGGGAATTGTATTCAGCTGAGTTAATTGTGAAACTGCCAGAGCTGGTTCTTGGGGCTGCAGTTTGCTGTAGCTGCTTCAGACTAAATGTACTACAAGAGTTTCTCTTATTATCTGTAGCTCAGCAGTGTTTGTAACTGGAAAATAAAGGCGTGACTCCTGGCGGATTTGTATTTATTGCTTTCATTTCTGCTCCTGCGTGTAAAAGCGTTTTTAAAGGCTTGACCAAATAGAAAATCAGGCACTAGGATTGCTGCTTCTCCCATCATTTCTCCCTTCTCCTCCCCCTCATCCTCCAGAAATTGCCTCAAGTGCAAAAAGTGGATGAAAATGA